CAGGTAGAAAGAATTGTCAGATTTTCCTTGACTCCCCAAATAACCCCCCATGCAATTCTTTAGTCTTTCTAGAAGTTCTGTCCTGTGTTTTGATCCAGCTCACCTAAATATCAGATGATTGTGATTTTTTTTTTAAGACTTGGTAAGTACATTGATGTTGTAGCTACTCTGCTTTCTTATTAATTCCTCTTCTGATGGTGTTTTAAATAGTTTAGCGTTATGTAAGCACATAGTTTCTTTTTATCTATTCTATATGTTCTCCATAATCATTGATTGTTACATTTCTGATTTCAAGAACATGCTCCTGAATGGCATACTTCATTTAATTTAGTTTGAACACAGCTAAATTTCTTTCTTTTACATTGTTTACTAAATTTAATGAACCATATAGTTGCAGTTGCACAATGTCACATATTATGCTTAAATTACTTAAACTGTAGTGTTTAAAAAATATATAAACTCAACTCTTTTGTAAATTCTCAGGACCATGAACACTTGAACCCTGGGTCCTAAAGGCCAAAATGCAGATGCCCACAAGTTACTGTACTATACTTACTATACCGTACTATAATTATTTTAGTAGTTTGATCTGACAGGATACAGAGTAATTGGCAGTAGTCAGCAAGGCTCTGTATTTGTTATACTAGCAAATTCTTTCAGCAAAATTTTAAAGTGGATTTAATATCTTTAGTTACTTTTAATGTAACTCTTAATATAATATACTATGCTGCTCTCATAAGGGTACTCACCATCATGTGTGAGCACATTAAGAATTTGCAAGGACAGAAGTAGTAGTATTCTGGAGATGCCTGCTGAGTTTGGTCAATTTGGTCCTGAAGTCTGAGGTCTGCTTATTAGAAAGAAAGAAAGAAGGAAGTTTGAGGGTAAAAATATTTTAAACACAGAGATGAAACCTAGTCTCACATGCAGACCAGACTAGAACAGTTCTCATATAGTGGCTTTGACAGCTCTTTTCTTGTCAACATCTTCCATAGACTCTTTTTGCTTTGGGCAGAAAGCAGGCTGCTACTATGAAGAATTTGGGGCATGTATGATGAAACACTGCAGCTTTATACATGCACTAGTCTGGGTGTGTGGGATCATACTGCACTGCACATTTGCTGAACTGTCCTTGCCTTCACATAAGCAAAGCAGCTTTTCAGTAGCTTTTTTACTGCTACTGCCTAAATATTATAAATAAATTGCTGCAGTAAAAGCAGCAACCAGGCCTGTGGATTTCCCACTCTTCAGCCACAGATCCTATGATTCTTGTGAAGAAAAGGTGGAAAACTACCTCTATTTTGATTGTTCCCTCCATTACTTCTGCCCAGATGGTGGAATAATAATTTAAAAACATGGGAAAAGAAATATGTTGTATGTTTTTAACAGGGAACACAGGAATTGAGATAGAAATACTGGAAATGCCATACTGCATTGGGTTTCTAGCAGTCTTTGATAACACCAGTTGCAGAAGAATATTTCATTACAAACTGAAATATGTGGTTCCTATTATATCTTGTGTGAGAGGACACAGTTAAAAGATGCTGACACTGCTTGTACCACGTTTTTAAAGAAATAAGTGCACCAATATTCACCTTCCTTGTGCTCAGAGAATAATTTAGCAGCGTTGTCCTTTTGCTTTTACAGCTTTTGAAGGAGCTTATTTGGCCCAATACATTTTCCAAAGACAGAAAGAATCTCTGCAAAGAAGTAAGTGCTGGATCTGTTATTTAATGTTCATGTCGCAGCTATGACTAACACCTGCAGTCAGCATCACTTCTCTATTGTGTTAGACCCTCACATGCTCAACGTAAGTCTTTGGTTTAAGGAGCTTATAATGAAAAGCCTTAGATTTAGAAATTCTGATTGAAGGGCGTGTTAGAACTTGTTCGCTGGCTATGGTAAGTTTTACAGCGATTTGAAAATAATATGGTCTGCCATGCTGAGATTTTATTGCTTAAGTATAGAAGCTATGAGCAGTTTATAGTAGCTTTTAGCTGATGGAATCCATATTCGGAAATTTGGATGCTGAAGTTGTTCTTGGAATCTGTTCAGTTTTCTTTCCTGTAGATCATTGCCTAGTATTATCTAAGAATTTAGAAAATTGATTCTTCTGATCCTGCAAAATCCAGGAAATGAAGGAAACCTGAATCTGTATGTAGGCTGAGTTACATTAAATTTTGCAAGTCAAACAAGTTCTACGCTCAAGTGAGGGGTCAACATAGTGTACTAGTCTACTTAAAAATACTGGGGCTGGAAATACCAAAGTGAATGCCAACTTACTCTAAAGCATATATTATCCATACTAGACAAAGACAATTAGAGGCCTACCTTTTAAAAAGGCATTCAACATGGTATACTGCCATTTTGAGGCCCAAAGGACTACAATAACATGGTCTCTGTCCATGCCTGGAGCTATGCTTGCAGGCTATAGATGAACTTTCCCAAGTAGCTTCTGGCAGAACAGGGAATACTTCTTCCTTACCTTTATAGCCAGCAAGGAGTCAGACTGTGGGCAGATCTCCCCTTTAACATCAGCTGTGCCAGGTGAAGCTGTTATTGCCACAGTTCCTGGTAATTTCCTTGTAATGCCCTCCTCTGATAAGAATGGCTTGTGTGCATGCGCCCTAATATCCTGTAAGCAGAATTAACTCCAGCCACCTACTTACTGCAAATTTGTGCTAGTCTTCCTGAATCTAAGACATACAAAAGATGATAGGAAATGATCTTACTCATATCAAAATATGTGCTGTGTGATCATAGAAAATAATTAGCATAGTACAGCTTTAAAACACCATAAATGTTAGTTATCAGAAGTATAGTAAGAATAGTGGATACAATTAAAATGTTAATTTATAATTAAAATGGCAACTTTTGATAGTGGTAACTGTACTATTTTCTGTTCCAAATAAAGTTAATAATAGTTGTGAAGCAACCCTTCTGAAAATACAGGACCATTGAAAAAGATCATTAGATCTTCTCTAAAATAAATATGGATATTAGTCGTAGTATTCAGAACAAATTATCTGCCATATTTTGTTTACTGACATTCTTCCTACTAACCTATTATCTTTTTGTCTTCCTGTAAAATACTGTGCCTTGCTCCTGCATACTGTGCTAAAGTTCCTGCATTTTAATGACTGACAATTAAATTCTTTAATCTAGTTTGTGGGAAATGTAGAGATGGAGAACAAAAAATAATCATATAAAATGCAATTTTATTATAAAGAGAGGCATTTCTTCAGGCAGAAGAAGCAAAAAGAGGTGTGAATAAGGTAAATTCTCATTCACAATAAGCATGGAAAACAACAACATGAGGTTTATCATGAAGGTGAGCGCTTTATATCAGTCAGAAAAAGTTCTGCCACTTATGTCTGTCTTCTGTCTGCTCTTGCAGCTTGAGGAGTAGAGCTCGAATATATACAGACTGAACATCAGTAGACATCATTTGCTAAAAACTGAACTTAAAAGACATATAAATATCAAAAGAAATATAATCTGTATTTAAGCTTTCTTGAGTTATTGACATTCCCATTTGTTATTTTTTCTGCAGTAAGATTAATAAATAAAAGCCTTAATTTAAAACACTTCATTTGAAAGCAGTTCTCTATAGAAAAGGGCACCTATTGTACACTGACCATTGTATAATCCCATGCAATTATTCTTTGGCATGCTCTGAACAAGCTGGGGTTTGCTGGTCAGTATGAGTTAAACACAGTAATAAACTATTGGGCATGAAGGATAAGGCCTCGACGATAACAATTAGCCAACTCCTATTTTCCAGTCAGACGTTCTGGACAGCTCAGAAGTATGGAAGAGGAGTACTTTCAGCCAACAGGTAATTAGCTTATTGGAAAACAACTTTTTTCTACATCACCTGGATAAAAGCATAGTCATTTCATTACTCTTTTTGAGAGCTGAAGTGTTTTAGCTTTAAAACACTGTACATAAATTGGAGGTAGACTTCGCAAAACTGTCATGATAGGTAGTGCTTCTAAGATATATTCTAGAATACTGGAGTTTCAGAAAATTCAAAATTAAGCAAAAATTAAGCATTTAATAATGAAAAGTAATTATCTAAGTTTGCAGCTACTTACCAAAGTATATGGTTCTACTTACTTCAGTAGTCCTATCAACTTCAGGGAGACTGTTCAAGTGCTTTAAGTAGGTATAGAAACATCCGTAGCATGAAGTGCTGGAGTTGTATCTCTTCTTATGATTCATTTCAGCTTCCTAAAATCTGTCCCTTCAGACTAAAAGTGGTTATTTGTAACAGTGAAAAGTGATGAAAACACTCAATACATTTACAAAGTTGTCTTGAATTTTGTTACGTGTGCACACAGAGCCCAAAAAGTGTGGATTTACAAGCTCAGCTTTTAAGATTATCCTTGGAAATCTAATATTTGGAATGTGCAATGAGTTATTCTATAGTCATCCTAAACATCTCACCATAAATGTTATGTTTGAGATGTTAAGTGGTCTATTCATAGCAAGCTGTGAACCTTGCAAAAAGAGTGGGCAGACTGAAATAAGGAATTATCCTTTATATCATCAATGAAGGAGATAGAATGTTTCTCAAGACAAAGAAATCTAGTGAGGTCTCCTCTGCTTACAGTAAATGTAAAACTATTGCTGACATTTCAGCTGTTGTTTCATTTCCTGTGTTGAGATAGTACTTGAAATTAGAAAAAAAAATGCTAAAATATTGCTCACACCATATTAACTCTTATGAGAACTTGGGATCTGTGGGACTGTAGGAATAAATTAGTCTATTCAATGAAAATACCTTCTAATGACAAAAAAAAAAAAAAAAGGAAAGAAAAAAGACAAGGTCTTGGACAACTTGTCAATAGAGTAAGTCCTTCCTTGAGGGAATTAAAGAAAAAAAAAAGAGTAGAAACTGAGTGGCTGCTCCAGCTATTTATGTTTGAAATGGGAATCAGAATGAGAAGATATGCTGTGAAGAGAGCTAAATCTATTTTTCTTTTTTACTTCTATAGTTTTGGGAAAGGATTCCTGCTCTACCTGGGGTGGAGGGCATTTCTCAACCTTTGATAAATACCAGTATGACTTCACGGGCACCTGCAACTATATCTTTGCTACCGTATGCGACGAAACCAGCCCAGACTTCAACATTCAGTTCCGCCGCGGGCTGAACAAAAAAATTGCAAGGATCATTATTGAGCTGGGACCTTCTGTCATCACGGTTGAGAAAGGCAGCATTTCAGTCAGAAGCGTTGGGTAAGATTCTGGGATGAATGGGGAAAGAAAAAATGTTTTGGAAAAGACAAGCAGGTGTATAGCACTTACACCAAAGAATGATACTTTGTACCAAGAAAAGAATTAATACATTACAGGAGACAAGTAAATAGACTCTGCTCTCATTTATTCCTACCACTCTGTCTCTCTGGATAAGTATTCCACTGGCAGTCATTTGGATAAAGTTTACAGTATATTTATATAAGCAAAGAGATAAACTGACCTTCACAGGCCAAAATAGTTCTCCAATTGAAACTATAGTCTCCTAAATGCTATCAGTCTGTCTGATCCCTGTTTCAAGCACATTTGTAACACTTTATTCTCTTTAGTAAATAATAATTGAAATTCCTGAATTTTACTTACAGATTGTTTAATTTGAGACTAACACTGAGCTCTCTGTGCTAAAGGTAACATGTCTTTAGGTTGCAAGGCAAACTTTGAACTATCCAACTAACAGAGAAATACTGGAAGGACCTACAAATAAATTCTTGTGTACAAGGCCACAGACTGTTAATAATTTCCAGGGATTACTATCACCAGAAAACAGCAGCATTACTAGGAATTACATTGATAGAAAATGTTGTGTTCTACCTCTTTCATTCTTCTAGACAAATTGTTCCCACACAGGAAAATCCCTCAGAAAGGTTTTGGCATTTTTTATCAGATAGACACTACTGAATCTTTGCCTGGAGGTAAATGCAGTTTCAGGAAACAGATTGCTATGGATTGTCTGTATTTTGTTACACTTACATGGGTTTGTGCACTGAACATCATCACAAAAGGATGTGTTGCAGCTGTAGCTTAATTCAGCAAACTGTACTGTACAACGTTTTCCTCTTCTAGATTATTTTCAGGGACAGCTATACAAATATATGGGCCTAACTGAATAATCTGCATTTTAAATTCTCTCTCTTATTTTGTATGCTCAATGTGTGTATGGTCAACCATAACCTGGTGATCCTTCTTTGAACCAGCTGATATTGACTTGGAGTTGGAAGGAATCTTGTGTGTATCTTGAAACATTACAGATATGGAGATAATTTCTATATTGTATTGCTACAGGCACTCAGATTATTATGTGTATTATTTCAAAAAATGATTACCAATACCTCATAACACATTGAGATAAGAGGGTTAATTTTATTTTCTTTCATCCTTACAGTATCATTAAGTTGCCTTATACGAGCAATGGAATTCAAATAGCACCTTTTGGACGCAACATCCGTTTGGTGGCCAAGATGATGGAGATGGAGCTAGTTGTCATGTGGAACAATGATGATTATCTTATGGTTAGTAAACTGTTATCATAAATCAAAACAGAAAATTCTCATCAACTTGTTGGAATGATAGGATCTCTTTAGATTTAATGGGTGTTTTTTGCAAGTGTTCACTATTTGGATATTTATTCTTTTCCTGCTTGATCTGTTTCCCTAGAAATAAACAAATGTGCTTTTTATACTTGCATTTACTTTCACTTCCAGTATTATTAGGTAACTAAAGCCACCAATATTGTGATTTATTCATTGTCCCTGGATTTTAACCTTTCCTCAGGCTATTCCAGCAGCTTGGATGTTTTGCCAAAGGGATGTTGAAGTTGTCTACAGTTAAGCAGCATTTAGTAGTGTAGTCCATAGTTCTGTCATTTCTGGTGAGCTTCATCAGGACATCTTTTGATTTCTAACAGATAGTGCTCCTCAGAGCTCTTTTTCCTATAGCTTTTCATATTTTTCCATAAAATATGCCGATTCAGTTTAGAGAAGAGAAAACCTTTTCTCGAGCTGATCTCTGATATTAATGCTGCATAGGACACTGAATTCTGAATTAGTAAATCTGCTAAAACAAAGTTTGTAATCTGATAAACTGAGAGATTTACTACTGCTTACTGTCACCTATGTAATAGGAAACATGTCAATGATGGGTACATGCTATGTTCTATAAATGTCAGACTCTTTTCCTTGATCCAAGGTTTTTGTGATAATGCATTGATTGTAGCCAGTTGCAATTTTATCACTTTACCATATAGAACAATAGATATTGTAACTGCAACTGAATAACATCCCGCTGAAAACAGACTTTCTTCCTATAATCTTAAGAGCACAAACCTGAAATTTGTGCACTTTTAAAAAGCAATATGAACCACAAAACATCATTCCTTTTCATTTTTTTTTCCAATTCCTTAGAATATTTCCCTGGAAATGTCTTCAGATCTTATATTTTATTTAATCAAAGAAACATAATAGTTACTGCTGCTTTTAAGTCTCCTACCCGAGTCAAATTATTGAAGTTAATCAGAAGAGTCACCTCTAATTGGATTCTTGAACTGAATTTGTACAAGAAAGGTAATATTGTGTAGATGTTTTAAATTACAGCAAATATTTTGTTGTATTTTAGGTTTTGACTGAGAAAAAATACATGGGGAAAACCTGTGGAATGTGTGGAAATTATGATGGCCAAGGACTGAATGACTTTATGAATGAAGGTAAGACCTAAAGGACAGACCAGATGGAAGAACTAGTTGAAGTGAGTCTAAGTAAAAATGTAATGCTGTACTTGCTTTTCTCTGACTGTTGAGACAATTTTAAATCTCGGTATAACACTGCTGCACAGTAACCTACAATCTCCAATCAACACTGCAGTTTTCTTTTTTTCACCACCGAGAAGAGTTTTAAAAGGAATACGATTTATTTTTTAGATCAAGATGAGTTTAATGCAACATACAGGGGAAAACAAGAATGTGGGGTAGGGAGAGGAGGCATGAATTGGCAGATAGAAAGATAACACCACTGATAGAAAACATTAGCAACTGGTGTCTTCTAAAGGTGTAGATGTGGTAGACTAGGAAATGATCAAACTGTCAAAAGTACACTTTGCTAAACAGACTACAGGTAGAGGACAAAGGAGGTAGTTATCACCACAGGAAATTAGACTTAATAGGACCTTTCACAGTGAGAGAACAGAATCTGTTTTTTGCTACATCTCAGCAACAATTAAGGAAATCTACATGATTTTTTTCCTGACAAATTATAACCCTTCAATTTACAGGTAAATTGCTGGATACATACAAATTTGCTGCATTACAAAAAATGGATGATCCATCAGAGATCTGCCTATCTGAGGAGATATCTATTTCTGCCATTCGTCACAAAAAATACGTAAGAAAGATCTTGGCTTTTCTGCAGCATGATTATAACAGAGAAGTAAAACAGAGTTGAAACCACCAGCGCAGAAGCAATTATTTCATAAGTCTAAAATGAAATAAATAAAATCAAAAGATGTGTATAACATGATATCATAAAGAAAGGGACTTCTTTTCCCCAAAATGTATTTTGAAAGGGGCCCAGAGGTATTATTGAGGTTGAATGTGCATGGCTTATGAGCAGGATAAAAGAACAGAGGATCTGAAGGTGCTGTAAGGAAGATGTTTTTCTGAAGAATAGTTGAAAATATTACTTGTATTCATATTGAGAAAAAATTTTTGATCCTCTGGAGAACTTGCTTTGCCTCAGAAGTTGAACTTTTTCTATATTGTATCTCTTTGAGATATGATCCTTCGGTAGGCACCGTTATGGGAAATACCAACACATTGAAGACATCCTCTAAAAAAGAATGCATGTTGTTATATTCACATGGCGTTTGCTGTGGAACACTCTCTTTTTTCCAACTGAGTTGTCATAAGACAACACATTCCCTGTCTGTAATATTCTCGCCAATTCTTATGGAGAGGGATGATACAGGAATGACAACTCATTTTCCGCTAAATGAGAAGTAAAACTATTTAGACATATCCAGATCTTTTCCTTATTCAGTGGATTTGTATTCACTTCCATTTGCAGAATTTCTCATGCTTTTTAAATCAGCTAAAAATACTAAACTATAGAATAAAGGACTAAACTATAGAATAAAGGACAAACCAACAAGAAAATCATAATTAGCAGTGATGTTCCATTGTGTTTTTGACATGAACACTACGAGGTTCAATTTTTCCTTTTTTTAGGTCATGATCTGCTCCCAGCTACTCAACCTTGTGTCACCAACCTGCAGTGTGCCAAAGGAGGGGTTTATTGTTCGTTGCCAGCTTGATATGCAGGACTGCAGCGAGCCAGGACAAAACAACTGCACTTGTTCTACGCTATCAGAGTATTCAAGGCAATGTGCTATGTCCCACCAAATGGTGTTCAACTGGAGGAATGAAAACTTCTGCTGTAAGTTTCAATGTTTTATAGGCACAAGATTTCACATGTTTGCTCTACATTTTATAGAAAGAGAATGATTCTTTGCAGGAACTAATAAAAATTGATTAAAGAAATCTTTACTGTCATGAATTAAGCAGAAATGATTTGCTTAATGAAATAACAGTGATCTTGGATTATGCTTTTAGAGGGAAGGCATGGAAGCCTCTCAAAGGAAGAGGAAACATCAAAAGTAGCTTCTAGATCTAGATCAGAGGCTGTCCTAATTGAGTTATATTCCTGATATGATTACTGGACTTGCCATAGTATTTCATGTCATCATTGTTACTTTCTAGGCCTTGCATCATTTTGATGTATCACTGTTTCTCATGTCATAATCTTCTGTTCTCCTCTTGATCATCACTTTCCTCATTATCTTAGCTAAATTGGTAATCCTTTTTTTTTTTTTTTTTTGCTTGCTCTGAACTGGTTTTAGTCCTTCAAAATTGTAACTCCCTAGGACATTTTATAGACGTGTATATGCAGCAAGAGTGATGATGATGATGAATACTCAGATGATGAACAGGTAACAAGACAGGGCAAGAGAAGGTTATCGCCATCAGAGTTGACAAAGTCTTTTTTTAAAGTTCTATTAAAGTATTTTAACTCTTTGCATGGTTGTTTGTTACAGCTGTGGGAAAATGTTCTGGTAACCAGATCTATGAGGAATGTGGTTCTCCATGTATTAAAACCTGTTCCAACCCAGAGTACAGCTGTTCCAGTCACTGCACCTATGGTTGCTTTTGTCCAGAAGGTAACAATTTTGTATTCATCTTATCCTGTATGACCCATTCAATTTTTTTTTTTTTTGGGCATATATCCAGTCAGCTGAAATAACCTTATTAAACAAAGATTCAGCAGTGCATTTCATGCCATCATGCTGCTAGAATTGCAGATTCTCAGGTAACATGAGGTAACGGGAGTCTTGAAGAGGCTCAGTCTGTAAAGATCCTTGGTTACTATTCACAAGAAGAGGCCATGAAAGCATCTTCCTCTCAGGGTTATAATATGTGATGGGATAAATATATGCTACCTGCTTGAAATTCTGTTTTATTGTATAAATTGTGTTATATGTAGTTTATTTTTTTTCCCCAAATGTGTGTCTGTCCTTTCAGGGCATCAGCAAAAGGTAGTGTATTTCAGAGAAATTCTGAAATATACAGATATCTTGTAAATTCCTTTAAAAATAATTCCAGATAAAATTGCCTACAAGAACTTAATTATGACTATTTTTTTGATCTTTTCTTGAATTTCAGAATGGAAAATTAGCTCAGTTTACTGTGATGTAGCTACCTATATCGCCACCATTTTATAGCAGTCAAAAATAAAATGCTGTGAGCTACACATTCAAAATAACTTAGGACTGTAGACACTAGAATGCATCCATCTTTCAAGCTTCCCAGCCTAATTAGAGTGTCATATAAAGGCATTCTGAAAAAAATAACATTCAAGCTTACCGTTATTTCAGATCAAGTTCAATTTTGAAATGAAGACAGTTATTTACTTATTTACACTTTCTTGTAACAAAGTAGCCATACCCTGTTACCAGTTGTAGAAAGTCAGTTTTATTTTAATTAACAGAAAATGTCCTGCACATATTTCTAATATTTCTGTAAGAAGTGACTGTGCAAAAATACTTTTCTCAGGCTAATTTTTGAAGGTGTGCTACACAGAATGGAATTTATAATAGCTTTTGTGCTCAGTAAAGATATGGAAAAGTGTATTTACTTTGTTAATACCCCTTGGCAGGGACTGTTCTTGATGACATCTCAAAGAATCGAACATGTGTTCACATTAAGCAGTGCCCATGCTCACTCAATGGGAAAGTATATGCTCCTGGTGAAACAATGAAAGCAGCATGTAGAACCTGGTAAGTAGAAACAGATTCTGTCAAGAGAGGGTAGAAAATATCCTCACCAAACAGTTAGGAAATTTAGCCTAACTTTTCGGATGGCAACTACAACCTTATCATCATCTCTGAGCTCACCTTGTTTGAAAGCCACAATCCATATAGTGGTAATTGAAGATTGAACTCCATTTCTCTTATTTCTTGATTCATCTGTGCAAATACAAACCATACAAAGCAGTATCATTTTTAGCTCCTGTATGAAAGGACAGGTAAAATGAGCTCAGCACTTATGATTTCTTTCTGTCAGTCTCAGAAACTTTAGTCACCAAATGAATCCTGGAAACTAGTTGCCCTTTTTGCAACATAAAATAATTAAGTCACTATTGTTTACATTTTGGGAAAATCATAAAGTTGCAGAGTAGACTTTATTTTACTTTCTTTGCTGTCATCATTTGCTAATGCAAAACCTCCAGACAGAAAGATCAAGTCATCTTTGCTGATAATTAGTGACTTAATATGGGAATAATCTTACACAGAATTTCTTGTTTTCCTCAGCCAATGTACAATGGGTCAGTGGAACTGCATAGAATTGCCTTGCCCTGGAAGGTGTTCCCTCGAAGGAGGCTCCTTTGTTACCACTTTTGATTCTAGGTCCTACAGGTTCCATGGAGTTTGCACTTATATTCTTATGAAGGTAATTTCCTTGAAATCTAGAAACACACCAATATTCATGCTTTTAGTCAGTCTTTGATTTCCTTTTGTTATACAAACAGAGGTTTTCGTGATGTGCATTTATCCTACAAATGCTTTTACACAAACACACCCTTTTGTTATTTTCTTCTAGAGTTCCAGCCTGCCACACAGGGGAACCCTAATGGCTGTATATGGGAAGTCTGGTTACTCTCATTCTGAGACGTCACTTACTGCTATAATTTATTTGTCTACAAAGGTGAGCAATTACTCCACCATCTAGTCAGCATTTCACTAAGCAGACTAGCAAAGTAATATTAAAGGCATTGCTAGTAGCCTGAACAAAAAAAATATGGGAGATTGTTATATGTTCCAGTGCATGCAATATGTGGCAAAGATCTGTGACGCCCCGTTAGTTCAGGAGGGTAGGGTTCTGTGCAGAAAACTACAGGATTTGCAAAGTTAAAACTGAAAAGATGATGGAATAAGATGTGAGAAAAAACTTGCATCCATCTTTTCTTATTATGTAGGTCACTGGCAATAGAGTGCTTCAATTAAAGAAAACATAAATACCAGCATAGATATTTACTTCTCAATTCCATATCCTCATTCATACAGGACAAAATCGTGATTTCTCAAAATGAACTCCTTACTGACGATGATGAACTTAAGCGGCTACCTTACAGATCAGGTAAAGAAAAAGGGAATATTTGTTAAATACATATTACATTAATCTCTCTCTCATATCTTTTTTTTTTTTTCTAGCAATTGCCAGTAGCAGAGGTTTTAAAGAAAGGTCACAAATCTTTCCTAGTATATCTATTCCATTATGGAGTATTGTATGTGGAAAGAGAAGGCATGTGTACACAGAATGCTAGAATAATTATTTATGCACGAATATCATTTCTTGAAAATATTCTTATACACCAAAATCATTGTTGTAAAACATTCCTGTCTTTTAGGCGACATCACTATTTTCAAACAGTCCTCAGTCTACATACAAATGCACACAACCTTTGGGCTCGAGCTTGTGGTTCAAACATCGCCTGTGTTCCAGGCCTATGTGAAAGTTGGACCACAATTCAAAGGCAGGACTCTAGGTAAGGAAACTAATTCCAATGTGAAAGAGAGAACAGAAAGTGTGTAATTGTGAAAGCTTCTGAGCATCTTTTAAGAATAAGCTCTCTTCTTTGGATTTTGAAAATCCCAATAAAAATACCTGCATTGGAAAATTGATATGCATTATGAAGAGTTACTTTCCAAGTGACTTTAAAATAACCTGTGGAATTTAATGAGTAGCATTTTTGATGTGTAATAAAATACTGATTTTTATATTTATTATGCCTTTTTCCACTATGTCTTCTCAACAACAGGGGAGCAATGAGTTAGCCTGGGTAGTCTCTACATTTTAGAGCACGCCGAGTCGACTGTCATTGTGAATACAATGAATCATTAAAGAATTCAGAGACAACTCAGCTGACAAGAACCAGATGGAGATACCTGTTTACTGAGAAACAATATTAGCCACAAAGGCACATCCTAAATTCTAATTATCTATGTGGATTTACAGAGAGGCTTTAGATGTTAAAAAGGTTAAATGTATATGCCATTGTAGATTTTACATACTTCCCAAAACACATATGCAACTGTAGAAGTATTTCATGGCCCTTCACTTTTACATAATTGAAGAGTGCTAAAAGGGTCTCTTTTTTTTTCCCAAAATACAAGGTAAACAAATTTCTATATGAATTTATATCAGTGAATAAAGCTGGATAATTTTAACCAGAGAACTGAGAGGGTCAAAATGACTGAATGCAGAAAACAGATACTCTCAGTGACTACTTTACCCATAGTATTCATTAACATTACATCACATTTTTTCTCACTTTGTACAGGAGTGAAACAGACCATTGTGTATGCATTCTTTGATTTTTGGTCATCTCTTGCGTTTCTCATGTTATTAGGTTTGTGTGGCAATTACAATGGCGACACTACAGATGACTTCATGACCAGCATGAATATCAATGAAGGGACAGCTTCCCTGTTTGTAGATTCCTGGAGGGCAGGAAATTGCCAGCCTGCTTTAGAGAGAGATACTGACCCCTGTGCTATGAGCCAACTGAACAGTAAGTAGCTGATCCTGTTCTAACTGTTCTCTCTAGCTAGCTTTGTCAGCCCCTCCATAATCCCAAAAGCAAGGGAATGAAAGGGCTTGAGAAACTTAGAGGTTCAAATGTCATAGATTCCTTCATCAAAAACAAGTATCTGAGAACATACCTTTAATTGAAGAACTTACTAGATTCCATTCTGGAGATCTGAGTTTAAGCTGAATCAGAGGTTTGTGCTAATATTTGTCAGTGGAATTGTGATATCCATGGAAGCTTATAACTGTTGCTTGCCAGCATTGTGACCCAAATTCAGGCTTTACATTCTCAGGGCTCTATTGCTCTTTTACACAAAGGAGAAAAGAAGTGCCATACTGAGAGATATTTGATCAAGCATATAGACTGCAAGACAGCTGGAGTGCAGTCTTTAGTGTTGCTGCTAGAAAATTAAAAAAAAAAAAAACAGTTTGAGAAAGCATTGGCCATCTGGAGGGTATCTAGAGAAGATAAGGGAGGCTATACAGTGGTTTAAAACACACAGTCTAAGATGAGAGATTAAACAAAGGGAGAAAATATGACAGAGAAAATTGAGCAGGAATGTAATAGTTTTCTTCAAATCCACTGGTAGGAAGGATAAGAAATAATCTGCAAGATAGTTTTTCTAGTACACTAGTAATTTGATGATGAGCAAAATGAAGCATTTGAAAAGAGTGCCTGACATGTTGTGAACTCTATATTACTGGAGGTCTTTAACAGTACATTAGTCAAATTTTAGTAGTAACACGAGCATTTGGGGTCTTTTCTTGGCCAAGATAGGCTAGATGAGCTTTTAAAACTCCAAGCCTCTTTTTTAAGCCTCTTCTTGATTCCTTTTTCCTAACTTTCTCTAATGTTTAAAGTCCACAACTCTTCTTTTTTTTTTTCACTTAGAAATATCTGCTGAGACTCATTGCTCTATTCTTACGAAGAAGGGTACAGTGTTTGAAAAATGCCATGCTGTGGTGAACCCTATTCCTTTCTATAAGGTAGGAACTTAATTAGGTCCAAATATGGACCAGGTGTGCTCAGGTACAGTATACCATTTAGGTTAATCAGCAATGTGCAATTGGTCAGAATCAAAGTTTTTGAAAATTGTTTCCACTGCACTAAAAGCCTGGCTTAACCATAGGTTGCAAATCTGAACCCTAGGAATATTTTTGCTCGCATTGCAGTTCACCTTCTCAACAACTTAACTATGCAAAGCATTTCCAGAGGCGTAACTGAGCTCATTAAGTTTGCCCATCTCTGTGAAATATTCTGATTCTTTTTTTTTAAAGCAGTGAATAAACAAAGACATTGTTTTAGGAACTTAGCATGTTTTAGTCCTGTCAGCCAGGCAATTAATCTGATCACTTTGATCGGTGTTCTAGTTATGCAAAAAAGGCATTTTGCATGGCTTACCTCTCTGTTCAGTACTTTTAACGCTTTCAGATGTCTGCTCCCCAGTAACAAAGTATTCTCCATGTGTTGGGTTTCAGAGATGTGTCTACCAAGCCTGTAATTATGAAGAAACCTTTCCCTATATTTGTTCCGCTCTTGGATCATATGCACGAACATGTAGTTCCATGGGTTTAATCCTTGAAAACTGGAGAAACAGTATGGACAACTGCAGTAAGTAGTAGAACCAAGTCCTGAAAATATGCCATCACATGCATGCATGCATATAGGTCTGTCTATTTCCATTTAAAGAATTCTTATGTTTGATACACCTAGGACAAAGTTGAAAGAGAATTCGTATTCTAAAACCACATATTAGTCATTAGAAGATAATTACTCATTGTTCCAGTCAGCCTAGCAGGTACTAGCAGGTACATAAGTCGTATTTCCTAGAAGCTGCTGGCCTTACAGATGTGTGAAAACTCAACAAAGCACTTCAAAAAGTAAAGCAGTATCCTAAACTGTACTTGAGAATAATAAAAAATATAATAAACATAAACAGGAGGAAAATAGAAATGGAATAGCACATATGCAACTCATAAACACTCTGTCAGAGATCAAGACTGCAATGCCTGAAACTGAAGGAAAAAAAAAAAAAACTATATTGATGCTATATTTTGGCTGCTGAAAAAGGTATTGTCATTTAAGATTATATCAAAAAGATTGATCGTAGGCTTTAAGATGAATATGTGGATGCTTCCAGGACTTGATATTTAAATAATGAAACTAACAGGTAAGTGTGCCACAGGATAAGAAAGGACAAGGAAGGGCTCTGGTTGCAAATGTGATTTTGCTATTAGGCAATTTAGATAGTAGCACTGTTTAAAGTTATATGAAAACACATTGGCATTTGTGTGAAGCTCCTTTCTGCATGATTGCATTCCAAGATACAGGAAGAAGCCATAAGATGATTTAACCTTTATAAAATAAGATGATTTAACCCTTATAAAACTCACAAGTAGCTACAGGGTGGTTGTTAAGCGCTTTTCTACAATATTCTCACTACAGCTCCACATCCTCAAGGAGAGCAGCAAGAGCATTGAAGCTCTGGATAGAATAAGCACTGAAACTATTGATAGAATGTGTGCAGTACATCACTCTGAATCTAGTGTCTTTCACAGAGAAGAGGAGAAGGAAATGAAGTTTAACAGACACTCTTTTCCTGTTTTGCAGCTATTACTTGTACTGGCAATCAGACATTCAGCTACAACGCCCAGGCATGTGACAGGACATGCTTATCTCTCTCCAACCGAGCCCTGGAATGTCATCCAACTGACATCCCCATTGAAGGCTGCCATTGTCCTAAAGGAACGTACTTGAACCACAAAAATGAATGTGTTCGTAAATCTCATTGTCCCTGCTATTTAGAAGATAGAAAATACATTTTACCTGACCAGTCAACAATAACTGGTGGGATTACCTGGTAAGTTTGTCGAGTTCAGCAATTAAAAAACTGAAATGGAGAATAAGTGTTTTCATGTGCCTGCTTTGCTTTTAATAAAAAAGAATTATTTTTTGACATGTTTTCTCCTCCTTCCTAAAATACAAACATTATTAAAGGAATGTTTTGGTTGGGGGGGGAGGGAAGGGAAAAGGAGTTGCTTTAAGCTTGGAAATGCTAAGGAAAAAGACTGAGACTATTAGGTAAAATCTGATTGTTTCCGATAGATCACAGTAAAGATTTTGCCAACAGCATATGTACGGCTACCTACAAACCAGTTGATGGCCCTTTCAAAAATGATGTTACTGCATATTGTAAAAAAATAGAGAGATGCATATGACGTGTCATTTGAGAGGATGCAGACGAGCTAGTAATATAGATGAAACTCTTCCAGTGGTAAAAAACATGAAGTCATCATGCAAAAACTTAAAAACTTCTTTCTTAGGAGAGAATTGCACTGAAACAATTTCTTGTTTTTTTCCCCCTCCAGCTACTGTGTTAATGGGAGGCTAAGTTGCACTGGCAAACCTCAAAATCCTGCAGGTATGAGTCTCTCTGCTTTTAAGCCATATTCTTTTCCTTTATATTATAAAACTGCAACTTCACAATCACCTGTTTCTTTTTCTCCCTTTTTTTCTAGAAAGCTGCAAAGCTCCTAAGAAATATGTATCATGTTCTGACAGTTTAGAAAACAAGTATGGAGCTACATGTGCCCCTACCTGTCAAATGTTAGCCACTGGAATTGAATGTGTGAGTTTCACAGCTCTGTGATATAAACCCTCTGAGAGGGGAAGAATATTCTGGTTGTTGCCTTGAACTCAAGAAGTCTAGGATTCAGCTCCTCCTAGGAAAATGCAAGGAGTTATTTTTCCTAACATGACATTGTTAGACTACCAGATTTTTTTCCACAGACTATAGAGATTAAAAATATATATAAACCTTCAGAAAGTGATTAAGTGAATTTATAGAATACAAATCCATGACTTTCACCTCTGATTGAGGTACTCCATAAGCTACGTGTCACTGGAAACTGATAGAACATTAACCATGCGCTTCTTTTTCTGTTCTTTCCCAAATACTTGCAAATTACAGTTACAAGAAATGTGAGATATAGGCTAGAGGAACTTTTGGTCTATCCGTTTATGGCTTTTCTTATGCTTTTAAGGAAATTGATTGAAAGAATTACATTGTAATAGGCTTCCTTCATGTAAGGAAAGTTGCACTCTATTTGTCCAAGAAATTGATAACATTGAAAGATAGATTTTCAAAAGAGATTTCAAGTATGTTTACTACCTCACACAACAGGTATATTTTGCAACTTTAGTGAAACCAATACAATTAAGTAGTATATTAGCACTAGTAAAATCATAAAACTTAAGTCAAAATTTAGCACGTATTGACTCTTGACACTAGTCACATACAACATAAAATGATAAAATGATCTCCTTCATTTCTTTTCACTTTGCAATTTGTTGATCTTTATCAGGTACCTACTAGGTGTGAATCAGGCTGTGTCTGTACTAATGGGCTGTATGAGAATCTTGATGGCGGGTGTGTACCAGCTGACGAGTGTCCCTGTGAATATGGTGGTCTTGCTTACGGAAAAGATGAGCAGATCCAAACCGAATGTGAGATCTGGTAAGAGCCCATTGCTGATCCTCTTACACTAAACTACACAAATGGACAACAAAAGCATTTAATTGGCAGAACAGGAACAGCAACAGCTAAACTACAGCAACAAAGCACAGAAGTATTAAAAACAGGCATGATACTTGAATGTATATGCATAGATGAAAAGGTCATGGTCTTCTAGTTAGCAATACTGACTTCAGGGATATTCTTTGCCATCTGCATATCCAGGAATAAGGTGACATTGAGGAAAGCCTTTAACTGTAAACTATATTACATCAACTATTGACAACTACATCGAAGTAAGGATGAGGACACAACCTTCTGTGATTCTTTCCCTTCTCTAGATAAAAAATACCTCCCCAAAATACTGTTTCCATTTTTAGAAATATTAACAACTCTTCACTTTGCAGCTCCTAATCTTGTACTAAAAAACTACCACCACCCAAACTACATAGGACGGTGATATCTAATCATAAGAGCTAATAAAAAGCTAGAAATAAGCTTCCCATTTTTAATGGGGGAAAAAAAGGCAAAAAGTGACTTAATATTTCTTCTTTATCATGTGTTAATTTTCTCAGTACTCCCTAGCTTTTTTGGTATGGTTCCTTTATTATTAATAACTTGGCCAGAATGTACACAAGTCAGTTAAATTCTTCTTACCTATAAAATGCATCCATATAAGTAAAGTGGCATGCCTTTGAAATCTGAGCAAGGTTTTCTTCTCATTGCCAGCACTTGCACAAGAGGCAAATGGAAATGTGTTCAAAAATCCAGGTGTTCCTCAACATGTAATCTTTATGGAGAAGGTCACATTACTACCTTTGATGGGCAGCGCTTCGTGTTTGACGGCAACTGTGAATACATACTAGCTATGGTAAGGTCCATCTTACTGCTTCTTTTGACATTACCTCAGCAATCAAGAGATAGTTGTATTTAAATGGTTGATGAAAATACTCTAGGAAGTCTCTATATTCAATAAAGCACTTGGAGTCTTTATGTATGCTTACTTATTTTAATAATTTTTGTTTATTTCAGAACTTAAGCTCAAAAGCTTTTACTTTTCAAGATGTATGTTTTTCATGAGATTGTAAGCATTTTAGATTTACTAACATGTTTGAATAGTTATTGGTAAGTATGCATTATGTACCTGCCAAGTATGTCTTTAGCAAAGTGGTGTCAGTTTGAATACCAAATCATAAGTCATCAGTTATCTTCAAAAAAATTGATGCCACTAAAACATAATACTCCACTGACTCTTTCATTTCTCTATACAAAGATGCAGGTTCTGAAATGAATAAAATTCTTCAGCTGACAATGCCATAAGATATCCTACAACTTCTGCATTAAAAAACAGCATTGAATTTTGAGACAGTCACAGATAGGTCAACTTTCACAAGAGAATGAGGATATAGAATAGATTACATGCAATGCTGAAAGGCAGAAACACAATTGTGGCATGCTTAGCTTTGTTTTCTTGTTTTAACTTGCAAAGCTTAAGGCAAAGTCTGTTAATTTTTTTTTCCTTTTTTAGGATGGCTGCAGTGTTAATAAACCTGTTTCCTCCTTTAAAATTGTTACTGAGAATGTCATCTGTGGGAAATCAGGGGTTACCTGCTCCAGATCAATCAGCATTTTCCTTGGGGTAAGAGCCTCATACTACTGTTATTCAGCTGAATAGCCATTTAAGCTAGGTAAGTTTACTCGACTTCCAGAAATTTTAGCTTGTCTTGTAATCAGTGCCTTGTAAGTGAAGTTAATGTGCTTAACCTAGAGTTAGTAGGAATTACTAAAAATAACCAATTATTTTGAGATAGGATGTCAACCGGAAGAAACTCAATTGTCCTGTAAGAAATATGTCACCACTGACAATACCTTACACTGCACCATCTGGCTACCATAAGATCAGAGGGTCTGACAAGACAATCTGTAGTGATACACATCTTTAATAATCTTACAGGAACAGTATGAAAAACACTAGAACTTGATAAGCTGCAATATCTGGAATTTTTTTCTTACAGAACTTGACATTCATACTGCGAGATAAAACCTTCTCTGTTTCTGGGGAAAATCCTCTTGTGCAATATAAAGTGAAAAAAAATGTCCTTCACCTGATGTTCGATATTGTTATCCCAGGAAAATACAACATGACCCTTATCTGGAACAAGCACATGAACTTTTTCATCAAGATCTCCAGAGAAACACAGGTACTGAAGAATAACTTCCTCAGTAAATTTCTCAATTGAGATTGAAGTGCACATTTGGTTACACTTGTCTCAGCTGTCTATAATTGTAAAGTTTTTCAGAGAAGCCCCTTGTAATTAATTTTTTGCTCACCATTATCTCCAAAACAGCTGAGGTTTTCTATGGAGACTGGTTACTGAGTGATTCCCCTACTACAAAAGAGGAATCTTTGGGCTAAGAACTTGTTCTATATATAACAGCAGCATTTTGGTTGTATTTTGTCTCTAAATTATGACAGATTATACTTGAGAGGAAAAACACATTCATCCACTGACTGATAAACAGGACTTCATGCATAGACTTTACCAACACATGAGAATATTTATAGGTTACATTTACTACTAAAATACAAGAAACAATAACAAAAAAAGGGAAGGCAAGGCAAGTGGTTGTAACTCACTCAACTGTCATTAATGCCTTCATTCCATTTAGGAAACTATCTGTGGTTTGTGTGGGAACTACAATGGCAATATGAAAGATGATTTTGAAACCCGAAGCAAGTATGTAGCATCAAATGAATTGGAGTTTGTCAATTCTTGGAAAGAAAATCCACTCTGTGGGGATGTATACTTTGTGGTGGACCCCTGTAGCAAGAACCCTTACCGTAAAGCCTGGGCAGAAAGGACATGTTCCATCATTAACAGCCAAGTTTTTTCTGCCTGCCACAATAAGGTAAGAAATGCTTTGGCTTTCTGCATAATCTACAGTCTGACAAACAGTATTTGCTCACAATTCAGTGTTTTGATTTTCTCTTCCCCAAAATATTTTAGTAATACTTAAGCAAAATGCATTCTGGCTCTCATTAATTGTAATACTTCCTTATTGGTACTTCACTCACACATTGTTAACTCAAAAGCTAAGTTTAGCATTAACTGAATAATTAAAATATTAGAGAGACATGAAAAAAGGAAGACTTCAGTATGAAAAATCAGAGTCCATTGATGATGCCTAACTGATTAATGCACTGTTTATTCTTTCCAAAAACATTTAGGCTTTGCTGGAGGAAAAAAAAAAAAAGGTCTCAGTAGTAAATGAACAGCATTATTTAAAAGATGCAGGAAAGCAGTCCAAGAATATGATATCATGAGTCCTTAATTTTTTCAAGTTACTCTCTTGATGAAAATACCACAAGGTTCATGAGAACCAGGTTTTCTGAAGGAAATTCTCATCTTTCCAGAAGTGAACACAAGAGAGAAATATGAGTAAATCTGCAGTGGTTATGCATATCTGTGGAGGATGTACTGCTGATGAACTTGCACGTTTATGCCAGAATGAATGTGGGTTTCTTTAGCTGATTATACACAACGTGTTCAAGATCAGTATGGAGTTAGAAATTTATATCTATCAAAATCCCAGCAGCTTCTACTGTTAGTTTTCAGGGACCTATGTTCCTACTAAAATAGTTGTCTAAATTAGGACTGTTTTAGTGTTTAGAGGAAATACTGTCTGCACTCACTTAATGCAACAAGTGCACTTCTCTTTCCCCTGAATTAAGAGGTTTTGTTTAACTTGGGAAGAACACTTTCTTAACAAATAGACAGAATCTAAACAATACTAGAATTTTCACTACTAAATTTTCCACACAGGTAAACCGTATACCCTATTATGAGGCCTGTGTCCGAGACTCTTGTGGTTGTGACATTGGAGGAGATTGTGAGTGCATGTGTGATGCCATTGCGGTGTATGCCATGGCATGCTTAGATAAAGGCCTCTGCATTGACTGGAGGACACCGGAGTTCTGCCGTAAGTTTCTCCAAGCTGTTTTTAAACATTAAAGTTTAACTGATCTATATTCATAGCTTTTTGCTTTTAGTGTGATTTTTGCTAGGTTAAAACACAAGAAACAGTTACTATTAAAATGAGTATATTAATACAGCAATATAGGGAATTACTCACATAAGTACCTCCAAAGTTGCATTTTCTGTATGAATAAATAGGTGACTTTTGTCAACAGGGTTTTGAATTTTCACTTTTCAATAGCAATAAATTAATCAAAGTATGATTTTCTTTTTCGTGGAGCAATAAGGAAAAAAGCAGTCATGGAAGGCAATGTACTTCTGCTTTTGCTGTAGAGTGAACAAGTCACTGTCATCAGGAGGAACAGGAAGCTGTGGAAAATGTGTGTGTATTTGTTTTAGTTATAATGAAATCACTTTCTCTAAGGATTTCAAGGAAATAGAGACAGCTGTGTTGTCCAGAATTTTAAAACAGGAAAAAATAACAGTGTGTTCCAGAACATATGGGGAATAGAAAGGATTAGAATGTTGTAAGTCAATATTGGGAGTTGTTACCTTTGATGATTTCAATATGTCACTGTATTATGCATTAGGAAAAAAAAGTATAAAAAATATAGAAATATCTGCACAGTACACTTGCAAAAGGTTTAGATTCAGATCACTAGAACATAAATTTCAATTTGCATCATAAGTGATTGTTTCAGTGATAAAATTTTTGGTTCAAACACTATTAATTTTGTCGTCGCTGTTCTTAAACCTTTGAAAAAGCATTCCAGTAATTGAAAAATGTAAAGTTCTCTTCTGTTTTGCTGTCTATTTCAGCTGTCTATTGTGACTACTACAATTCACATACAAAATCAGGAAGTGTGGATTCTTATTCTTATGACTACAGCAGTGACAACTGCACCTGGCACTACAGGCCATGTAACTGTCCAAATCAAAACTACAAATACGTCAACATTGAAGGTAATAATTTATACTGTTGTAAACCAGGAAATAGTAAGATAATTATTTTTACTGCTTTTGTTTTACTCAGCCATAGATTGATCAGCCATAGGTTAGATAATAGTGTTCTAGTTAATGTCATCTTTAAGACAGTTTTTACTAATTTTTCCTACTGCAGTGCTAAAATGCAATTGATACAGTACCTGTATTGCATCTAGCTTTGCATTAAACTCAGCTTAACTGGAAGAAGAATCCCCTATTAGTACCATTCAAGGTATATGCTGTACTAGGTAAGAAAATATGTGGAAGGAGAGATAATGGTTTATTAGACAGTGAATATAACTGAAGAAAACAAAAAAGTTAATATGTATGCTGACTCTTCTTCAGAGGATGAAACTGGAAGTGCTCACCTAAATATATGATGTTAAAATCAATACAATTTTTAATAACAGAAGTAAAAGTAGTTAAATGATAAATGATACATTGGAAATGCTGTTCTCTGAAAAATGTAAAAGAAAATGATCCTCCTATTTAGGCTGTTACAACTGCTCTCATGATGAATACTTTGACCACGAGAAGGGACAGTGCATGCCATGTGGTAAGTAGAGACCGATATACTCACTCCCTTTCTCTACAGTAACTAGAAAATACTACTAAAACATTTTTTTATTATTAAGAAGGATAATTTCCCTAATATATTTGGATTAATCCAGGAATAATTCTCCTTTGAAATAAACTTGTTGCTGTACTTCTACTGTGTAAACTTCAGTTAATAAACAATGGTATGAAAATAACTGATTTTTTTAAAAAGGCTAGACTAGACTAGAGAGTTCTAAAACACAGGAGTTGGACCATCCTGAATAATTTAGCAAGATAAAAAATTGTTTTCAATGTAAATGTCTGTACTTCTCAAAGCTTGGGTGTTCCTGAAAGTATACTGATGTTCTGATCTGCATGACAAGCCATCCCAGCAGAGATGTATATCTCAGATACATTCAGCATCTTGCTTAAACAAAAAGAACATCTGGAAAAGGATCTAGCTAATGAACTCTATGTAGCAATTATCTTTTAAAGATATATATTTTTATTATTTTATCATATGATTTATTATCATACAATGTACTGCTATGAAAACCTGGCTGATTAAGGTCTTTTTTTTTTTTTTCTTACGTTACACAATTCTAACCTATGTCCCAGGACAGTTAGTGACCTCATTTATATACAGGAAATACGTTTCCACTATCCCTGAAAAGTGAAGCTGCCTTTAAACATGAAAATCATAACAAAAGCAGCAAAAACGCGTTCTTGATTATTACAAGGTGCATTGATTTATCACTGCTTAATTCTTTTGATGTAAAGTTTAACACTAATATAACAGCAAGCATTTTCAGGAATATTTAGATAATTAACACAATACTTTGAATGCAGTTTATATATCTTCTGGTATGAAATTTGCCATATATGGGATGTTCTTAGTATGTTTTAATTCATACATTTAATCTCTTCTACCTCTAAACAACAGGAGAGGAAACGACTACTACTGCTGCACCTGAAACATCTTCACCTTCAACAGGTTAGTATAAGTCAGTAACTAAATCAGCGCTTAAGCACTGATAGTTGTCCTAATACAAGCTTCTGAGGTAAGCATATCCTCTTTCTGGCTTGATATAACAACTTCACCAGTTTCATATTCATAATGTGCAATAATGAAAAATAACACAGCATCATAATTATCACATTTTTTTTCCCAGAAATATAATAGATATCTTAAATTGTGAAAGAAAACTCTGGAGAAAACAATATATTTTTTACTATATTTAGGCACTTCCATATGTCAGTAAGCAAATATCTCTAATAGTGGATAAGGACTTCTGTCTCTTCTTGGCATACGAAATCCCGCCAAAATAAGCACAGTTCATAGTGGTGTCTAGCAACATAACACTTTTGACATTTTAAGAAGGTGTTCATGGAAACTTATGAAGCATATCAAGCCTCAGTAGCCCAAATTCCAGGAAAAGAAACTATATACATACATACATATACATACATATATATGATCTTAGATTTATTAAGAATTCTATTAATTTCACTGAGAAATGGTATTTTTATAATGGACTGGGGAAAAAAAATAGTAAGCTGCCTGAATTATAAAATGCTAAGTACACAAATCCATCTCTCTTAATATGCACAAATGCACATTAAAAATTTACTTTCAAGGGATGAAAATATTTTTAAAAGCTTCTGTTAGAGTCCATGTTCAATGTATTGCCTGAAAATCATAGCAGAAGGGATATGTAAATAAATTCTCCAATTTTTTCTTTTAAAATGAAGATAGTTATTACAAATTATTATTAATAAAGATAGTGCTAATACCTCCAAAAATATTTTTAAATTTACATAGCATATTTTAGTGGATTTTTAAGAATTATTTCCTAGCCTTGGATTTTGATTTTTCTCTTCCCTTAGTGAAAACAGTGCAGCCTGAAGTAACAACAGGCTCTACTTCAGTCCCAACATCAATGACTACCTTGCCAACAGCACCAACTACTTCTGCAGCTATTATATCAACAGAAACCACTATTCCAACAATAACTTCAAAAATCACTATTACAAGAACTTCATCAGCATTACCGCTTGTTACAACAAAGTCAACAACAGGTAGGTTGTTCGTTTTATTGACTAAAATAAATATTAAACCCATTCTATGCACAGTTAAGAAATTAGTCTACCAGGAGAACAATTCAAGCTAGTTTAACATCCAAGAGCAAGACGGTGGATCATGAAATGAGCAAAGCATGCTTCCACAGACAGGTTTGTAGGAGGCTGGGAAGGGAGGGGGTAAACCAGGAACATTTTTGAAGTGGAGGTGGAAGGTATGTGAAAAGACAATAGGTTAAAAATACAACCAAAATTTATCTGTGTGATTCTTACCTCTGTGGAAATATATTATGAGCTCTATAAACAAGAAGCCAGTTCAGCCCCATTTGGTTTTATGAGCTCAGCCTCAGCCCCATACATGTGCTACATCCATGACCAGCTCACTAGCACAGTCATTTTCAAATGACACTCAAGCTATTAACACGGGATGACTTAAGCAGGCTTTAAGGCCTGGCATAGATGTCCGTGTCAGGAATCTAGGCTTCAGAAACACTGGACTGGATCTTTGTGTGAAGTTGGTGTTGCTCTCAGCAACGGATTGGACAAATGATTTCTGCCTTATAATTTTGATGGCTTGTGTAGACTCACATATGGGACTTCACACTGACATACACTTCAACTAATAAGCCATCCTGGGGCCAGGCCATCAGGGAAAGTGGTGCTAAAAAAAATGGTTCTACAGCAGTCAGAACATAGCTTCAAAGGCTGTCATTGGACCAGATGATTGGCATGGTCTCATTTGGCCTTAAAATAGCAAATAAAAAGAAGAAACTGTAGCCAATTCAGAACATAAGAATAGGCGGTGAAGTTGCTCCCTGGGAGTAGACTATAAAGACTTCAGTGAATGAGTGATAACGAAACTAGCTTCTTGTAAAAGTTTTATATAATCTAGCACAAGATAAAGAATGTAAGAAGTAAGATAAGAGGATCCATAAGATATGAGGAAATAAATATGAGTATAAAAAAGACTTGATAGGATTATGAGAATATACAAATAATTACACATGTTAAAATATTAAGGATGAAAATTGAGTCCTTGGAGTACATATAGCTTCTATATAATTTTAATTGTTTTTAATTAGTAAATAAATTGATTACTCACATTATATTCCCTATCCCAAAAGAACAGACAACATCAGTTTTTGTCACACCAGCTGTGACCACAGAAATTGCTACGCCTTCTGTAACTCCCTCAACAGAGAGAGCCATGACCACGAAACTGCAGCCTACATCTACTGCCTCATCAACCATTCCATCAACAGAGACAGAAAAAACAAAGTTTACCACACTGCCCATCACGACCACTATCAGAAGAGAAACAACCACATCAGTACCCACTCATGCTACCTCTCATGTCACAACTTTCACCAAACCGAAGTTAACAACACTAGGTAAATATCACCTTTTTATATCTACTGAGTAGGTATATCAGGAGGAACATACATGGATTCAATGGATTTCTGTTAAGAAAAAAAGTTATTCTTACTAGTTGTCTTAAAATTGCAAATATATTGGAAAAGATATGGATGACTAAACGAGTAATATAAAAATGGAAATTTCCTTGTCTTGCCAATGGAGTCAGCATCTAATGCCCAAATACAATCTTAATATTTCTCTTATATACCATACCCACAAATACCACTCCTTTGCATATGGAGAAGATCTGTTTATTCCACCAAGTGGCATAGCATCTTGAAAAATCAAATACAACAGAGTAAGTGTTCCCCCTAGCCATTGCAACCACTTCAGCCAAAAATATAAATCCCGTTTGCAAAGAAAGGAAATTAAGCCTTAGAGTCTCAAGCTCTCCATATACCAAGGACAGCCTCCATGGAAGGAATATCACAACCTGTTTTGCTTGGGCTCATAACTGAGGGCAGCACCTGGTACACAGTGCTGGGAAGTTGACTATGGGAAGGGAGGGCAGGAGTGGGCCTTCCCCCAGTCCACATCTCTCCTACCTGGTACTGCTGGGGTGCCTGCATACAAGTATTCTTGTGCCAACCCGAGTTTCCTCTGAGAGAGGATAACTTTCTACTATGCCTACAAGTCGCCACATGGTTGAGATTTGAGAAGCTGCTTACCTTCTCAAATATCATATCAACCATTATTACCCCTCCTTGGCCTCTTTGCAAGAAGCCCAAGCCAGGCTTAACAACAAGGAGTCCCAAATAGGTAAGTGCTACAGATGGGAGGGTGGTAAGACTCGTGCATGCTATATGCCAGTGCCTACCTTGTTGATGTCATGGGGTTTCCTCACCCTCCCTGGGGTGGGCAGACTGTACTCTCCACATGCTACTTGGAGGAAGTCACATACATCCCTTGCTCAGATGCTTCAGGAAGAGGTAAAAGGAGCTCACTTGGTGGACATCCTCCAGGTCCAGTCACTGCCCTGCATTTCAGGAAAAGGGGAGGAAGATGAGGAAGGACAGGAAGTGATATGGCTCCAGACACTGCCCTTTTTTTCCCTTCTGTGCCTCCCAAGACTCAGAAGGCCCCATTTCCACCTTTCTTGTCATGGCCCCTCAGCGAGGGCTTAGTGCAGGGTCAACTGCTTGCCTTACGTGCACATCTTTCCCAGCAGCTGTCACCTATGAAAAGGCAAGTGTGCCACACACGGTCACCTGGAAAACCACCCCAGCCACATCCACCTCCAGGACCTCCAAGATCTCTGTGTCCACAGCAACGAGCCCCGAAGTGCTGCTGACAACAACAACTCAGGTCCCCAGCACCCCACGCAGCACCTCGGCCTCCAGCACACCGCTCAGCACCCACGCGCCATTTGCCGCCCCCTCCACAGTCTCCACCAAGGCTCCCACAACAACTAGGCCAAAGCCCACACCTACCACGCTAGCGTCCACAGCCTCTCCCTCCACAACCAGTGTTTCTACAGAGACGCTGCCAGCTGTGTCCTCTGCAACCACCACAATCAAAACGAGCCCCCTGTCAACGTCTGCTTCTTCTCCATCCTCTACTCTGTCCTCAACATCACTAAGCCCATCACATCCCGGTGAGTCTGTCTCCTTTCCTCCTGCTGTGTTCCCTGTTTTTTCCAGCTCATGTCCTGCTCTTCCCTGCAGCACATGCCGCAGGGGCTTTTTGTTATTGTAGTTGTTCTCTTTTTCCCCTGTGCCTTTGGTATTGGGACTCCTTGGACCTGGAAGGGTTCGGACCCAACCAGCACATTGTCCCTAACTGTATCCTCTGCTCTTGACCCTTCAGAGGTTTGTCCGGAGACATAAACCTTTTTTGGGATAAAGACCCCTGCCAGCTCCTGCCCTCACACTTAGAGGTTAGCTAACACCCAACTCCCCATCCCCACCCCTTGTAAATATCCTTAGAATAAGGACATTTCCCCAGGGTAGGGAAGAGAAGGCCATGAGAGAGAAAAGTCACCTATTTCCAGCTCAGCACCATTCTGGGAAGTTGAGAGCTGTTTTGGAAAATAAAAAGCAAGAGATATAGACTCAGACATGGGCTTGACCCTTAAAAAGCACTATCTAAAAAAAAATAATAAAAAATAAAGAGAAAAGCCAACTCTCTGTGGCCTAGCTAAGGGTACCATATGCTGACCAAGGCTATGGAATAATCAGTAGTGGAGGGTGGGCAGGCAGATGAACATTCACACTCCAGCTACACTGTTCACACTCAGACCAGTTGGGCTCCCCATGGTCTTCTTGATGCCGACAAGAGCACCCTCCTTTGAGGAGGTACCAGAACATGCTTTCCTTAGGCTTTTTCCCAGGACTCAACCATTCTTTTCTCTCATCCCTTTCTTTGTAGCAAGGGAGCCAACCAGAGCTAAGACTCCAACTAGTAAAGTAGTAACAGGTGAGTGCTCTGGTTCAGAGACAGTTAAGAGTCCTCCATGCCCTATGCCTCTCTGTCCTATAGTCTCAGCTCTCCAAAGGACCCTTCCCAGCAGGGTCTGGAACAAGCTGATAAAATACTATCTGCTATCCCTTTGGCAAAAACAATATTGGAGATTCCAGTGTTGCACTTGGGGCCCACAGAAAGAAAAAGAATATGGGGGTGTACCTATTCAGCTAAAATGGATTTCTCACTTCTCTGGGGAGGAAAAAAAAAAAAAAAAGGAGATGGGAGATACTGAGGGCCTCAAGCCTACATTTTTTTCTCTAAAGATTCAAAGGGGCCCAATTCTGCCTTTCTTGCCACTACCCCCACAGGGAGATTGCTGTTAGGTGAACCAAATGCCTCACTTGCCCTAGTGAGGGCAAAAGTTAGGGCACATCTGCCCTAACATTGTCAGTCATGCTGCATTTTCCTCCCAGCAGCCACAACCCACAAAGAAACAGCTGTGCCACCTGTGACCACGTGGAAAACCACTCCAGCCACATCCACCACCTCCAGCACCTCCAAGACCTCTGTGTCCACAGCAACAAGCTCCAAAGTGCTGCTGACAACAACAACTCAGGTCCCCAGCACCCCACGCAGCACCTCGGCCTCCAGCACACCGCTCAGCACCCACGCGCCATTTGCCGCCCCCTCCACAGTCTCCACCAAGTTTCCTACAACAACTAGGCCAAAGCCCACACCTACCACGCTAACGTCCACGGCCTCTCCCTCCACAACCAGAGTTTCTACAGAGACGCTGCCAGCTGTGTCCTCTGCAACCAGCACAGCCAAAACAAGCCCCCTGCCATCGTCTGCTTCTCCATCCTCAACTCTGTCCTCAACATCACCGAGCCCATCACATCCCAGTAAGTCTGACTCCTGTCCTCCTGCTGTTCTGCCTGCTCTTTCCACCTCACCCCTTCCTCTCCCCAGCAGCGCATCCAGGACAGGCTTCTCCGTAGAGGGGCAGTGCTCCAGACTCCAGACCTTTGATGTAGGTACTATTTGGACCTGGAAGGAACCTGAACCCAGCTCTTGCTGTTGGCTGCGGCAACTGCCCTCCACATGTCAGGGTCTTTTTCTGGGTGCCAGGCCTGTGGCAGAGAGCCTTCAATGTTCAGCGTGGAACCAGGGACAGTACCTTCCCCATGCCACTTAGAGGAATTCACACACTTCCCTAGAGGCTCTTCTTCCTTGCTCAGGCACTCTAGAAAGAGCAAGCTCACTTGTTGGTGGGCATCTTCCCAGTCTAGTCTCAGTGCCTGAGTATTTCAGGAGAGGAGGAGGACGGGTAGGCACAGAGTCCCTGGCATTTCACCATGGATCCTTTTATGCCTCCTCAAACTTGGAGGGACCCAATCCTGCCTTTCTTGTCACTGCTCTTGAGCAGGGATTGCTGTCAAGTCAACCGATCACCTCACTTTTCTTCTGCCTCTCACCCTATCACTGTCAGTCATGGTGCATTTTCCTCCCAACAGCTGTCACCCACAAAAAGCCAACGGTGCCACCTGTGACCACAGAGAGAACCACAACAGCCACATCCATGGCCAGCACCTCCAAGACCTCTGCGTCCACAGCAACAAGAGCACCTCGGCCTCCAGCACACCGCTCAGCACCCACGCGCCATTGGCCGCCCGCTCCACAGTCTCCACCAAGTTTCCCACGACAACTAGGCCAAAACCCACACCTACCACGCTATCATCCACAGCCTCTCCCTCCACGACCAGTGTTTCTACAGAGACGCTGCCAGCTGTGTCCTCTGCACCCTCCACAGCCAGAACAACTCCCCTGCCATCATCTGCTTCTTCCCCCTCCTCTACTTTGTCTGCAACACCACTAAGCCCATCACAGCCGGGTAAGTCTGGCTCCTGTCCCCCTGCTGCTCTGCCTGCTCTTTCCACCTTGCCCTCTCCTCTCCCCAGCAGCACATGCCACAGGGGCTTCTTTGTAGTGCGTCTGTACTGCATTCCCCTGTGTCTTTTGTAGAGGAGTTCTTGGACCTGGAATGGTCCTGAACCCAGTTGTTATATAACCATAGAGTAAGTCTTCTCCTCTCAAGACTTCAGAGTCTTCTCTTGGTGCCAGGCTTCTGCCAGATAGCTTTCAACACACAGTGTGGCACCAGTGATTGTACCCTCCTCATGCTACATAGAGAGAATCACACACTTCCCTAAAGGCTCTTCCTCCATGCTCGTTAGTTCCAAGAACATGCAGAAGCTCCCTTGTTCGTGAGCATTCTTCAAGCCCTGTCCCTGCCCTTCATTTCAGGAAAAGAGGAGGAGGGATAAGCACAGTGTCCCTGGCGTAGTCCCATGGCTCCCTCTGTTACTTCCTATCTTCTATATTATCAGCCTTCAAGGAGAGCTTAGGGCAGGGTCAGGTGTTCACTTTGCGTTGCTTACCCTTCGTAGCCCACTGCTGTCAGTCACGGTGCATTTTTCTCCCAGCAGCTGTCACCCACAAAAAGACAACGGTGCCACCTGTGACCACAGAGAGAACCACCCCAGCCACATCCACGGCCAGCACCTCCAAGACCTCTGTGTCCACAGCAACAAGCCCCGAAGTGCTGCTGACAACAACAACTCTGGTCCCCAGCACCCCACGCAGCACCTCGGCCTCCAGCACACCGCTCAGCACCCACGCGCCATTGGCCACCCGCTCCACAGTCTCCACCAAGGCTCCCACAACAACTAGGCCAAAGCCCACACCTACCACCCTAACGTCCA